AGTTTCTGATCGATGACCGTCCCGCAACATGGTGGTGTTTGCATCTCACTCATTGGCTATGTGCTTTTGTCTCCAAATCTGTTCGCCCGTCTCGGGCCCAGTGTGTCTCTCCAGATCTTTGCACACCCGGCAACTCCTCTTTATGGAGGAGTGTCTTACATTCAGCGTTTTTGGTAGCCTTTTTTCTCAACTCAAGCCGATGTTAAACTTTGCGAATCGAGCGATTCGCTACTAGCGATTCGCTAGCGTCCGCGGTCGCGTTGCGGTACCAGCCAATGAGTGATTCGCTGGCCGCGACGCGAATCGCTAGGAGCAAATCGCTCGCTCGCAAAGTTTGACATCGGACTGACAGTCCACTTCACCTCTCTACTTTTATTTTCAAGCGCACCTGATCGATCATCGGAGGGGGCTTTGTTCTTGCGATATCTCGCACCATTTATATTCCCATCAATTACACTGCAAGTCTTTGTCATCTCACGCTGAGCTTACCATTAGATTAGTCCGTCTGTGAAGAATAATATTTGGGTCACGGTGGTGCGAAGCGACGGACCGGAGGACAGCTGGAGGATGCGTCACCCACTCGCTTGGCTCCATAAACCTCGGGTCCCACGAGGCCCTGCATGAGCCACTCCTCCCTCACAAATTGTATTCTGCTGTATTCTTCAAACAGTATTGGCTGAAGGGACGGAACCCCTACTTATAACTCTCTACTATTTTGAGGAGCTGTTGGCTTTTACTACTCTCATGTTGAGAAGATAAGTTCCGCTGTTTTTTCACATCGAATTGAACATCCGTAGTTGATCAGTTATCAAAAATAACACACTACGCACCTTTTGGATAACCTCTTCTTCCTTGGCTTTCTCGCCTTCCTTGTCTTTAGCTTCTTTCCCGACTTCCTTTGGGTCCGTTGCGCATACATGCTGCTCCTAATAAAAAAGGGCTTCGCTAATGTTATAGTTGCTGATGTGCTCCGTTGAATGCTGCTTCTTACCGCACTTCGCAATGCGCAATTCATCACAGAGATGCTAAGGCCCATAACTGCTGGTATGGGGCATTAATGTATAGAATGGCGAAGAAAAGAGCCCATGACATGATTCAAAGCTGATATTCCCTTCAGTCGTGTGAAGAGCCAACGTTTAGATCATATTGTTTTGATGTGACATGTGTTTTTAGGCTGCAGATGACCATGCGAAAGTTATAACAAAGGCGCTGGTTTTTTGTGCAAAACACTCGAACTCTTAGTGGTTCTTATAGTGCTATTCTTCTGCCAACGGGGTTTTCAGGTAAGGGCTTTTATTCAGTAGGCCTGACGTTACGACGAGATCGTCTTCCTTAACACGTTGACGACCGCGCTATTTTTCGCTGTCTGGCGTGTGGGACCGCGCGCATTATTTTGACCGCGCGAGTGTGACATGACATCATGTCACACGGTCCCACGAGAACTCCTTTTTCTCAGGAAGTGTGTATTTGTTATCTTTCTTGTGTGGTAGGTCTCCGATTATGCGATTTTGGCCATTTTAGCGATTCCTGTGATTTGATCATTATTCAAACATTTTTAGAAAAACTCGATAGCCCATCAACCGAAGCTTCTTTCCAGGGACCACGCCTTTTGTAACAATGCCTAAGTATGGCGCATACATCACGTAAATAAGTTACCTAAAATGTTTGAAAACCAGCTTAAAAAAGACTGTGACATGACATCATGTCACACGGTCCCACGTGGCCGAAAGAGTGTGGTATGACATCATACCACACGGTCGTCAACGTGTTAAAGGCAAAGTTCGGGCTCAGACCCACCTAAGAAGCCCTTACCATGGCTAGAAGTGCTGGGTACGCAAGTGCAAAGGTAGCGCCACCTTTCTACATCGAAACGCGTCACTAGGACCCTAGGCGCCATGGACTTCTAACAGACTCCACCAAACTTAACATGGTCCGCCCACCGTTCGATATCTTGTCTGCGTCGCTGCGTTGATCTGCTATGCTCTCTCTTCTCGGACTTCTCTACCGCTCTCCGCGCTCACATTTCTCTCATCTCCCTGCCTATCTATTTTGAACTTCTCCACAGCATAGAGCAAAATGCTCGTATTTCCTGTGCATATTCAGGATTTCTTCTTCCTTTTTCTCCATTGGCGGTCCACCTCCCATCCCTACTTCCACATTTGAGTGCAATCAACCCATCAATATAATCCTGATTCTTGCCTTCAAGAGGCCCACTTCACCACCGCAAGGGTAGAACAGCGCCACTCGAGGACAGTTATGGTTAGTAACTCTTTCACCAATTTTTTACTAAACGTCACGCCACTAACAAAAAACTACCTAAAATCTAGTTGGCAGAAGAATAACTAGTCACACCAATGCTGAGATTTACAACAGAGAAATAGAAATTAGATGTTTTTTGCCAACGAGGTTGTTAGGTGGAGGCTTGTTAGAAATTTATTAATGGGCTGACGCTTCGACGAGATCGTCTTTCTCAAAGGCCCAGTCCACGCGAGCAGAGAGCAGCGCCACTCCAGGTCAGTTATGGTTAGTAACTAAGAAATTATGGTTTAAGTGATGGTTTAGTAACTAGTATACTGCCTTAACTAATAACTGACCTGGAGTGGCGCTGTTCTGTGCTCGCGGTGGTGGACTGGGCCTTTGAGGAAGACGATCTCGTCGAAACGTCAGGCCACTAATAAAAGTCTCCGCCTAACAACCTCGTTGGCAAAAGAATAACCAAATAACAACAATGCCGAGATTTTACGAAGAGAGAAGTTGGAGTTTCAAGAAAAATTAGAATATGCAGGACCCTTACTGTTATTGCTATAGAGCATTAGTGGAACCCAGATGCACCGTTGCTGGAAAACAGGAAAGCGCAAACGGTGTTTCGTAGTTATCGATTGGGTCTTCAACAATGGGAGTGAATCGCAGCGGCTCAGAAGAGCAAGTGGAAACCGACCTTATTGCTCCCGGCTACAGAATAGATCGATTTGGGTGATCAGAGAACTTGGTTCTTAGTACTAAAATGGGTAAAATATTGTGCTTTTGTGCCTGTTAAAATATTCCAAAGCTGTACGAGAAGGTAATAATATGCAAGAAATAAATTAAAGCAAAAGAACTGTTGTTACCTCTTTGTCACCTTTCTCTCCTTCTTTGCCGCCTTCCTTCTTGAATTCTTTTTCGGTTTCCTCGTGAACGTTCTCGCCTCGTCCGCCAGATCTAACGCCCTTTTAAAACAGTGATTCTCTCAAGGGTGGCCGGTTCTTTCTAAGCAAATACAAACGTAAAGGTTCGGGAAGGAGTCGTTAATTGCTTACGCTTAACTACATCGACACTTCATGGTGTCCACAAGACACGGTTCGCTGGCAAAATGGAACGTGGCAACCCCAATTTTTCGGATTTAAACTACCCGAATCGGTGCGCCGATTAAGCTCACCGACACATGGCTGATGAGACGATGTAATTTTCGTGACTTGAGGACGTGCAGGAGGTTCGCTTCCATTTTATGGGGGATATTTCAGTATTGTTTCGCTGTAAAGCTTTCATCAACGACGGTCAATTCATTGCGACGGAATAATCGATGCGGGATGCGGCTTCATGCAAAATGTCTTTTTCGAGCTCCCCCTGCACGAATGCTCTCTGCTTTCACCAATTTCCTCTGCCGTGCGACTTCGTCTACAGCAAATGAAATCGTTCCTATGCAAAACAGCGCATTCCAAACAAGGGTGGTCTTTCAGGGGTGCATTTGGGTTGGCGCCTGCGGTCTGGTGCCAAATCGCACTTAATATCAAAATCAGATGTCAATTCATCGCCAGGACCATTTTGAAGCCAAGAAGTGGCCGCCAACTTTGAATTGAAAATTTAGTCGTCGCGGGGGATTGAACCATCAAGAGTATTATTCACCACTTTTTTGGTACTACTAAAACCGTTCAGCGAAAACGAAACATGGTTTTGTGGTCCATACATGTCCCTACAACATGTACTAAACCGTTTCCAAAAAGCGCACCTTGCCTCTGAAAGACCTCCCTTGTAAGAGAATGCGCCACCCATCGCTGATGGGCTTTCCTGATTAGGCCTCGTGCTCGGCCTTACCTATTTTTCCCTTTGTAGATTATTATGGACCGATTTAGATCACTACTGTGTAGGGGCGGAACATGGCGCGACGGACGGCAGTAACCAATTATTCGGTCCATAATGTTCCTCTCGATGTGTACCGTGGTCCACAGTCCATTCACCCCAAATCTGAATTTACCATTGGATCTTTTGTCGAGGTATTTCGCGGGTATCTTCACGGAGAGGCAAACAAATAAAAAAGCGGGTTATACAGGTACATCTGTCCATAAGGTGGGATAGATTAGATTCAGCTAGAAGAGAAGAAAATTATATAAACCCGAACGATAATTCCTAGAGGTCATACCTTATCTGTTGTGCCCTCGTTCTTTTCCCCTTCCCCTTTCTGATCTTTTTGCTCTTTTGCTTCAGTTCCCTTCTTGCCTTCCTCCTCCTTTTTCGTAGCAGCTTCCGTTTTTTGTGTATCAACCGTTTGTGATTTGCTTTCTGCTAGCCTTGCTGTGACCGTCTTATCGTAGTAAATTCCACCCCAGCAGTCAGGAATACAGGCATATGCGATCATTGCATCTAATAATACCGGCTTTGCCTGAAAGCAATGAAAATCAGACAAAGAACTTCAGCCAAAAGAAAATCATGAAAACTAACTCTTCTGCTGCTTTTGATAAAATTATTCACGTCATTATTTATTTCATTTTCAAAGCGTTCAGGATGATTTCTCATCACTTTCAGGGCGTTTCCAATAGACTTGTCAATTAACGCAATGATCTGAAAAATAAAGAAGCATAGATGACTTTGTTCAGCCCAGGATGTTGAACCGATTCCACACAGAAGTATCCCTTTTCCTTCTCTTCTATCACTTTTGTTTTTTTATGCGATTCCAATTTCTGTACTTTCTCATGGTTTTAAATTTTTTTTTCGCGTTTTTTCATTGGATTTCCTTGTACAAATAAAGTGTAGAGCTTCATAAGGAACATAAAAGAATATCAGATCGCTCACAGCAGTAGTGGGGCTTTCCTTTGACGTTGAGGTAAAATAATTTTTAATAATTTGTGCTTCTTCTGGAGTGATACCCTCTTCAAACAATTTGTATTCCTTCATTATATATACAACCTTCATGGCTATTTTGATCCTTTCACATTCCTTCAAAACTGAGCTAAATTCAATGGCCACTTATTTTCGAAACTTACTTACATGAGCGTCATCGAAAATTGCAAAATCGGGGGGAGCTTCTTTCCACCTTAAATGTTCGAAATCAGAAATAATCATCAAACACACTGAGCTGCAACATTATTAATACGTTGGAAACCACGCATGTTTTACGTTTTGTGGCCGCGTGGCACTTCAGTGAAATTTTAGGGAGTTTATGAAGCAAATTGGAATGAAAAACCTAGTGTATGATGCAGAAGAAACCTTATCGAATGCGATGGAAAAGAAAATGAAAGAAATACTGTTTCCGAAATGTGAGCCGAAAGGTCCTAAGCGGTTGACGGACTGCAGCCTACATATGGGCTGCGTGGGCTCCAAAGTGTTAAAACACACGCGACTAGATTTGCGGCAGTTCCAAAAGCATTTATCAAGCTCAGAAACAGTTAAGCAGGTCAACTGATGAGGCTTTCGTGCGATCGAATTGCGCACTGGACGGCTATGTATTCATAATCCCAGAATTGGCGTGACAGAGGACTTGTACGGAAGCCCAGCACTGCTGAGTTGGACATCCGATGTTTGCGCTCTGACTACTTTACTGTTTATCAGGTTGATATCGCTCAGGGAAATCCTTGACAGGGGGTCGTATTTGTCAGGCTGGGTCATGGGGGGTCGTACTCGTGGGGGTCAGTAACAGCAGTGGCATCGTGGTGCAGATAGGTAAGAGGGTATAGCGCAGCAGAAAATGAAAATATGTGAAAAAACATGATATAAATATTCTTTGCAGGTTCAGTCGCTCCATTCCTCTTCATGAGAAGGACGTATTTGAAAGCAGTACAAAGAATGAAAGTGCATCTCCGCAAGGAACGGGGCCACATGTGCACACGCGCTGCAAAGGCACCTCCTCTATTTACCGCCCGCTCCCTCTTCTTAAAGGCAAACCCCGGGATTAGCCCGACTAGTAGGAGGGATACCACGAGGGAAATTGTAAGGTCCGTACCTACCTAGATCACTCCAGCTTCGTCGCGAAAATTGCGCGGTTAGGGCGCTAATCCTTACGGGCCTGCAACCATCGAACGCTTCCCACCCACCGCGAGATGTGGTGAGATCAGCGTGCATTGATGTAGAGATCAGCGTGCTCTCTCAAACGACGTGCTCTCTCGCGTATTTTGTCTTCTTTGACCGCCCTTTCTCGCCATCGTACCACATCCGACCCTATTGAAGGTTAAGGCCTTAATTTCAGCGTTCCAAAGATTTCTCTTGCTTTCCTTCCCACTTTCAGGTCGTTCCGCAGCTAAGCTATCACTACAAGCGCTGATAGCACCTAGTTTCAATCCCGGAGTTTGCCTTTAATACCTCGACACCAACCATCCACGCAAGACGCACTATGCGTTTCCGAGATAAATTCGCTCATTTATCAACGTAAACAGCCACTCTATGGTATGATCTTGTGTTCTATTTGATAACTTCCCATAAATATATTATTGCTGTCCACTGCATCAAAACGGCAAGCTTCATGTAACCCATACTTTAGTTGCGTTTTCCTCATGTGTGCTGCAGCAGGTCTGGCATTCTTGACCACTTCGAAGGTCTCGTTATCCATAGCGTCATAATCCTGAAAAGCTTGACAAGATCATCCCCACACATATCTCACAATTTTATTTCGGGAATATTTAATAAACACTGTGCATAACTCCTAGAAAACTCACGCGTTGCTCTACGCAGTCTTTACCTGAAGAAGTAAAACAACTATGAAAGTGAACGACAAGCCTGATGTAGTTGTTCTTGAAAAGAGCTATAGAGCGATTATTCCTTGAACCACTATAAATCACACAGTGCGATGCTTAAAATCACAAAAGTCGGTCTGTGGTCGGGCGCACAATGGTACGGCAGTACACAATCGCAAGTTCTACTAGGGCTACAATCAATTCCCAACACCATTCATTTTATATCTTGTTTTCTCTTAGGTGGCCGTAACCTGCTTCAATAAAAGCGTCCACCAAAGAGAAAAATGTGGGAGGCCATGCAAATAAGCCAAGGCCAGGTCAATAGGCACCTATTGTGTGACAAAAGAAAAACTACATATTCAATGGATGATCGTGATGCTACTCCCTAACAGCGACTGCTCCTTGAAAACCTGGAATCTAGCTGTCGAGTAAGCTAGCTGCTAACATGGAAGGAGCAGGAATGAAAAGCTTCACTCCCAACATACAATACCGCTACTAATTTTTGTTCAATCGACGGTTTGCGACGGTCGGAAACCGTCGCAAACCGTCGGCTCGCCATAACTCTTTAAAAAATGGTTCGCTCGACCTGCAGTTTATACCATCTGATAGCTCTGCTCGAGATCTACAAGATGGTTAAATTCAATTTCTGAAAGAGCTCCATCTAGGATTGCGCCATGCACTCGACCTCCATCCCGAGAAGTAATGAATATACTTTGTATGTGATGCGCATATAAGTCCTCCTATGCAGCCTGATCATCCCACAGAAACATGGATCTCAACACCCTCAGAATACGCCACGTACCCAACCGGTCCACCATATGGTGAGATTGAATGAATGTTTTTTTTTCGAATTTCACGATCTTTAATTCGTTCTAGAGCGCTAATTGGCTAACCGTGCGCTGATCAACCCATTCTTCCACTCCAAATGAGAATCTTCGAACAGTTTCCAGCAGTAGTAGTAGACCTATTATGTGACATTCCCCACATTTAGAGGAGATGATTTGCGGAAACCTGAGAAGATAGCCAGGAATCTCTCCACTGACGTAGACTCCAGTTACTTCTCTGTAAGATTGATGTAGAATATTTGGTCACGGGTAAGCGCTCCGTCCGTGGTGTGGCCCCAAACATCACTCTCCGTCATGCCCTAAAATGAAAAATCAGAGTTTTTGCTCTTCCAGATGACTCTACAGAGCTGAGGGGTGCACCGTTCGATTTCCCATGAAAAATACTACCGAATGGTGTACAACTCAGGTTTCACACAAAACTTTGTTTTTCTCACTTTTTTGCTCCCCATTGCCGATCGTCCTCCCAGCCCTTGGCGCCACGTGCGATTTAGCGAGAAATTCTCTCCACCGACGTGGACTCCGGTCACTTGTCTGTAGGAAAGAGGTAGAATATTTGGTCACGGGTAAGCGCTCCGTCCGTGGTGTGGCCCCAAACATCACTCTCCGTCATGCCCTAAAATAAAAATCAGATTTTTTGCATTTCCAGATGAACTCGCAGACCTGAGATGTGCCCCATTGGATTCCCCGTGAAAAATGCTATCGAATGATATACATTACTCCTCCCAGTTGAAACTTTGGTTTTTCACCGTTTTCAGCCTTCCCCTATTGCCAATTGCGCATCATTATTCCACTATTACTATCCCAAAATCTCAAAGTTTCATTTTTCGTCGAAACTTTGCCTATTGGGGTAATTCGATGCCCTGATTACGAATATGACATTCATTCTCGTAGTGGGGCCCCAAACATCACACCTCGCCCCATTTTTTGCGACAACTTCAACTTTTTTTTGTTCCATGTTTAGAGCAGCTGTTATGTATGAAGAAAGCTGTGAAGGCAGCGACAAATTTCCTTTACTGACGTAGACTACGGTTACTTGTCTGTAGGAATTACATAGAAACCTTGGTGGCAGGTGAGTCTTCCTTCCGTAGTGCGACCCCAAACATCACACCTCGTCATGCCCTTGCGATATGATCAGATTTTTTTCGGTTCTCCAGATGAACATAGAAGACTGAGATGTGCACCATTCAATTTTCCCATAACAAATACTGTCGAACGGTATACAACTCACTTTTTGGAGAACATCTAGTTTACCTGCCACTAGATCCATTTTGTGACATTTCGCAATTTTCGAAGGGATGTTTTGAGGAAATTCGAGAAGGGAGGGACGAACTCTCTTCCCTATCGTAGAGTAAGTTTACTTGTATGTTGGAAAAAGATGATACACTCGGGCTTGAGCGAGTGTTTCTTCCCTGGTGTGGCCTCAAACATCGCTCTCCGTCATGCCCTGAAATAAAAACCAGATTTTTTTGTCTTCCAGTGGCTCTACGGAGCTGTGGTGTACACCATTCGATTCTCCATGCAAAATGCTATCGAACGATATACATCTCAGTTCCCACTTGAAACTTTCGTTTTTCACCGTTTTCGGCCTTTTCCTTATCGCCGATCGCCTTCCTCAGCCCTGGCCACCCACGTGCTATTCACGTGCGCGGTGCGTGGTGACTTTCCCACGCACTTTCGACACGCATAGCGGTGTATCGATCGGGCTGCCCGCCAGCTACCGAGAAAGGCCATCGGCTGTCACGTGAGCTCTCACGCTCCGCGCACGTGAATAGCACGTGGGTGGCCAGGGCTGAGGAAGGCGATCGGCGATAAGGAAAAGGCCGAAAACGGTGAAAAACGAAAGTTTCAAGTGGGAACTGAGATGTATATCGTTCGATAGCATTTTGCATGGAGAATCGAATGGTGTACACCACAGCTCCGTAGAGCCACCTGGAAGACCCAAAAAATCTGGTTTTTATTTCAGGGCATGACGGAGAGCGATGTTTGAGGCCACACCAGGGAAGAAACACTCGCTCAAGCCCGAGTGTATCATCTTTTTCCAACATACAAGTAAACTTACTCTACGATAGGGAAGAGAGTTCGTCCCTCCCTTCTCGAATTTCCTCAAAACATCCCTTCGAAAATTGGGAAATGTCACAAAATGGATCTAGTGGCAGGTAAACTAGATGTTCTCCAGAAAGTGAGTTGTATACCGTTCGACAGTATTTTTATGGGGAATTGAATGGTGCACATCTCAGTCTTCTATGTTCATCTGGAGAAACCAAAAAAATCTGATCATATCGCAAGGGCATGACGAGGTGTGATGTTTGGGGTCGCACTACGGAAGGAAGACTCACCTGCCACCAAGGTTTCTATGTAATTCCTACAGACAAGTAACCGTAGTCTACGTCAGTAAAGGAAATTTGTCGCTGCCTTCACAGCTTTCTACATAACAGCTGCTCTAAACATGGAACAAAAAAAAGTTGAAGTTGTCGCAAAAAATGGGGCGAGGTGTGATGTTTGGGGCCCCACTACGAGAATGAATGTCATATTCGTAATCAGGGCATCGAAT